CTAAATTACTTCACTTGTTTCCATCACTATAGTAACAACCTACTTTTATAGTTTTATCTTTATCCATAGACGAATTTATGATTTGACTATAAATACCAAAACACAGCGCCTACATAACACAAATATAATCACAGTATGTAGATTTTTAATATTTTGCCATACTTGGATGGGAGTTTAAGATACAAAGACGAATATGACTTCCTGTCATCTAGAGAATTGCTATGTTATTTTTTTCTGTTGAATTTCAAAGAATATAATTACCATTAAAGAGCCTATAAAGCCTACATTTTCGAGTGCTTTTCACAATGTAATACTGTGTCTATGTCATGTCAGTTTTGCGCTATAAATAATTTTTCGAATTTTATCAGGTTTACTTCTTTGCGATGTTAAATACATGGTTTTATTCTGCATTTCAACAAATGTACATATACTTAGAATAAATATGACAACTAGTCATTAAATTAAACATTACATTTTCACTGAAAACAGTTTGGCGCAAAGACGTTGCATGGAAGATAAATGCTGCTAAACGTTGTTTGAAGAAAGTAGGTTAACGGACAACCGGGGTGTATTTTGTTGAAACGTAAAAACTAATACTCGTTATTGACCTTAATTGCACCACGCCATATTGTCTATTACTTAAAAAAAATATACGCATAATTGGAATATTGAAAACATATGCATATCATTTGGAATATTGGAATAAGCTTTCCATGCTACGCACTTCGCGGTGACACCTTGCATATATGCAGTGTTTTAAAGTCCAAAACAAAAATATTTACACATTTATTTACATTAGGCAATGCCTGGCTGTCCCATTCATGAGCCAGATTTCTTAATATGAGTAAATTGTGCACCTCGTTTACAACACAGTGATCTGTGTCTAATTTGATATGTGTGCTATGTATATATGTACTATGTCTAATCGATGCGTGTTCCTTATGACCGAGACCTACAAACAAACGATTATAAAGCTTCTTAAGCTATAAAATCCCCTTATCTGAGCATTCCATCTCGATTTATAGTGAGATATCACGGTGCAAAGCGCGGAATTACCATTAAATCACATTTAAAGGTCACTTAAAAAGATCATCAATAGCATATTTGTTGTTGCGAATTTCTTTGCAATGACTGTGCACAGGGTTCATCAAGGTTAGGCTTCTCTGCCGAAAAAAAGCATATAGAATATCATAGGTATATAACTTTATATATTATCACAGAAATGTAAATCATTTTATATCTGACGAGAAATCTGTTGATATTACGATTGGTGGCCATGTTGAATTTAAACAATACACTGTTGTCATTGAGCAAAATGTTGATATTGTGTTTACGATTTGTATGTTAGCAAGCTCAGTTTGGTGCCATTTGAATTCGATGCAACCCACAAACACCTAACACCATCTGGTCAGAAAACATCCAACCACATGTCTTCAAAATTCTGGCTTGATATAACATTGACGGTCTTGAAGAAACACTATCTGGGGAAAAAAATACAGTTTAAATGGTATTGTTGTTCAACCTTGCAACAGAAGTATAAATGTAACATCTGCCATTTTACAACACAATTGGTAAACGAATTGGTTCTCCACAAAGATCTAAAATCAAAAAATCCTTTCGGTTACTTGCCTGTTTACATTTAATTTAGGACCAAACAATTAATGGGCGGACTGAATGTAATATCAAAGTTTGGAATCATATGCTAGTAATACTTGATTGTGTTGATTATCCCTTGATATGTCACGTGATTTCACAGTACTTCAATTAAATTAAATTAATGAACACCGAATATTGTGACGTCATATGCATACACGCTTTTGATCATCGAACTTTATGTCAACGAGTTGCGTCATAACACAGTCCCGTATTATAGATGACCCTGTCATATTTGCGTTGATGTGTTCTGCACATCAAGACTATCGCCGTACCGCTAGCTGGTTCACTGCCTAGTCATACGATCACGAATTTGTATTATATTGTTCTGCTTCTTGTACCACCATTATAGTAATGTTTTGAAACATCGCCGCCTACAGATCATGTGTCGCAAGACAGCATGGAAGATAATGTTTATTTTATTATGTATCAAACAGTGCAATTCTTGCTCAGTCGTGATGAAAACCTACAACAAACACAACACTATGCAGTCTACGACAAGTCGAGATGGCAGTGAACACTTCTCAATTATTGCTGCAGTTATCACACGTTCATATTCTGACTTCCAAATTGAGACTTTAATTGATAAGCTAGGCTATACTACGTCAGAATGAATTGATCTAATTATGTATTCATTGGTTGGTTATTTGAGTTTTTCAGATTAAAAATACATAACCCTCACTTTGGGGAAGGGCACGAGACAGCAATGAAAGCACTGACTTTTTGGTGATCTACATACAATCCTTGTGAAACATCATATTAAGGAATCAAAAAATGTGGGAAGCGCCAGCTATTTTGTGTTGGCTCTATATTATCATGACATGTACCTCCCTTCTAACTCTAGCCAAGTTGCATGGATAGAGTCTACACGAGAGTTACATAATTGGGATAGCTTCAACCACTTCTACACCATGATATACACAGTGAAATGTTTGATGTCATGACCATCATGAACCACTGACGTATCAGCGGTAGTACAAGGTATAGGTGATAGTTGTTGGCTATATATATATATATAAATATATAATTTTTTTAAAGATTCCTCTCATTAGTAAATAGCGCCCTCACTCAACAATATTTAGAATGAGTGGTTGGTCAAAAGTTTGATGAGTCGGGTGCATCTATTGGCTAAGCTTGTTGTACATAGATGCAAATGAGTATAGGAACCATTAATGCTTTAGGGTGTACTGGGAGGGGTGGAAGATATCATGTTTGTAATGACTGGTTGTAATTTCTTTGTTTTCAGGATGCAGTCTGATATTTGTTGCTTTCTTGGTTGTTCAATTATGGCTAAAATTTGTGTGGTGGGTGAAAGATGTGTTTATTGTATGTTGAGTCATTGTTTAGACACCCTGCAGCTTGAAATGGTATGGTCCAAATCCAAATTCATATGGCGGTGTTGAATATCTGTGCGATATGGCGGTGTCGTCTAAAAACATGGCATCAAAATTATTTCTGTTTATTTATTTACTGCTGTAGATCCTGAGAACTAGCCACTGAGTATGATGTCGGGAATAAATGGTATTCTGAACAAGCTTTATTAATTATTGCTGGCAATATTCCAATATGAAA